TCTGGTCTTGATTTAATTTTGGTAAGTGATATTTATCTAGAAAGTTGTCCATTTCCTTTAAGTTTTCCAATTTTGTGGAGTACAGGTTTTCAAAATATGACCTGATGATTCTCTATATTTCCTCCATGTCTGTTGTTAATTTCATTCCTGATTTTGTTAATTTGGATATTCTCTGCCTTTTGTTTCATTTGGATGAAGGTTTGTCTATTTTGTTGATTTTCTCGAAGAACCAACTCTTTGTCTCTGATTCTTTGTATTGTTTTCTTTGTTTCTATTTTGTTGATTTTAGCTCTCAATTTATTTCCTGCCATCTAGTTCTCTTAGGTGAGTTTGCTTCTTTTTGTTCTAAAGTTTTCAAATGATCTGTTAATTCACTAGTTTGGGATTTTTCCAACTTTGTGTAGACATTTAGTGCTATGAACTTTCCCCTTAACACTGCTTTCATTGTGTCCCATAAATTTGGGTATGTTGTGTGGTCCTTTTCATTGAATTTTAGGAAGTCTTTAATTTCTCATTTTATTTCTTCCTTGACTCATTGATGATTCAGGTGAGCATTTTTAATTTCCATGTGTTTGTGGACTTTCTGGAATTGGTATTACTGTTGATTTCTAGTTTTAATCCATGGTAATCTGATAAGATACATTGGGTTATTCCAATTTTTTTTTTTTTTTGGTTTTTTGAGACAGGGTTTCTCTGTAGTTTTAGAGCCTGTCCTGGAACTAGCTCTTGTAGACCAGGCTGGCCTCGAACTCACAGAGATCCGCCTGCCTCTGCTTCCCGATTACTGGGATTAAAGGCGTGCTCCACCACCACCCAGTGGTTATTCCAATTTTTTGTATTTGTTGAGGTTTGTTTTGTTACTGAGTATGTGGTCAATTTTTGAGATGTTCCATGAGGTGCTGAGAAGAAGGTGTTTCTTTTCAGAAGGTGTTTGGATAGAATATTCTATAAATGTCTATTAAATCTGTTTGAGTCATAATATCTTTAGTTCCCTTATTTCTTCATTTTTTTGTCTGATTGGCCTGTTCAGTGGTGAAAGGGGAGTGTTGAAGCCTCCCGTTATTAGTGTGTGGGGTTTAATGTATGATTTAAGCTTTAGAAGTTTTCTTTTACATATGAGGGTGCCCTTGTACTTGGGGCATAGATGTTCAGTACTGAGATTTCCTCTTGATGGATTTTTCCTGTGACCAATATGAAATGTCCTTCTTTGTCTCTTTTGATTGTAAATCTTATATTTTTATCTCCAGTCCAGATACTTTTCTAGAGGCCCCAGACTTGAAAATGCCAGTGTTTCCTTTTAATCTTAAAACTTACTTCTCTTTACCTTTCCACAGGCTGGAAAGATCCATTTTGATCTCACATGAGACGCTGTCCTGGGGTACACGGACTTCATACTTGGGGTTTTCTTACAGATTCTAAAATCCATTAAGAATTAAAATATATATCTAAGAGGAAGGAAGTGTTCCAAAGCTCTGAAGTTAACTGAAGTCATCAGTAATAAAGGAAACTATAATAGTTCAGTTTTTCGGAAAATACTGAGCCTTTTTATGCATAATCCTGTCTTCAGGGTACCTGTGGATCATTGGATCATTAGCAATTTATGGGACAAAGAAGCATACACACACACACACACACACACAGAGAGAGAGAGAGAGAGAGAGAGAGAGAGAGAGAGAGAGAGAGACTTATTGTGTATCTGTACTAGCAGGACAAACAGTATCTCCCATGCTGGCCACAATGCTCCTAAGCCACAATGCTCTAGTGTTGAGTCCATCAGAGGATCTTGCCTTTCCGTTCTTGCTGTTCAGGGTGGCCCTGGACCCAGAGTGCATCCCCTGGGAGCCGCTTCATTGCCGCTGTGTAGCTGGTTAATCCCACTGCTCGGCAGCTAAACTTTAGCAGCTCAGACTAATTCCACCTATTACCTCGTGGTCTTCATGAGCCAGGGAGCTGGATACAGCTTAGCCATCGATCTCAAGGAACTGAAATCCCGGTACTGGTCCAGATCTGTGGCTTTCTGTGAAGACTTACCTGCTACCAGCCCCAGGAACAACCAGCAGTCTGCGGAGAGGTGAGTTATTGTTTTATCCGTCGTACTCAGGCTGGTCCGCAGACTCCTTGATGAGAGCATTTTCTGGCGCACTGGCTTGCAGTTTGCCCAGCCCTGTTCTCCTTGGGACCTTTATTACTTTCTTCTCTGTGCTCCAGGTCATGCGAGCAACTCCTCTTCATTCTTTGCTGCGTGTGAAAATGGGCCCAGCACTTACAATTCTACTTTTCTCTTAGCAATGCCCAGGACCTGACGCTTGGGTTCATTTGTTTATTAGCATTATGGGATATCAGAGGGGTGGGCAGCATCTGACACCCGAGACCCAGTTAAGATGCTTCTGGGCTCCCACACAATGAAGCAAGGCCACTGAGGCACAGTCAGGGTGGGGGAGGATCTTGCTGTGGAATATTTGTACTGTGTGAAAATGTCTTACTGTGATTGGTGTAATAAAAAGCTCAAGGGCCTATAGCCAAGCAGGAGGTATAGGCGGGACTTCCGGACAGAGAGGTCAAGTGAGAGGTGGAGGAATCTAGGTGTGCAAGAGAGGCTGGTGGAACCCTAGAGAAGTCAGACATACATACAGATCGGAGGTAACCAAGCCACTCGATAGAATGTAGGTTACAGTAAATGGGTATAAGACTGAGGGACAAGCCCCAGCTAAGGCTGGACTTTCATAATTAATAAGAAATCTCTGTGTCATTATTTGGGAGCTGGCTGGAGGGAAAGAAAAAGACTTCATTACAGGATCCCTTGTTCCTTAGTTTCCTTTCTGAGACTGTGATAGAATCTGAAAGGATTTCTGTGGCTCATGCTTCTAGGCCACAGACCTGGGAGGAAGTCAGGGACCCAAGCAGAAACCACAGAGGATACTGCTTCCTGGCTTGCTGGCTGGCTCATGCTAGGTCCTGTCCACAGTGGACTGAGCCACAGAACAATCAAGACAATCTCCAATAGACGTGCCCACAGGCCAATCCGATCTAGGTAATGCCTTCATACAGAGTCTCTCAGACAAATCTAGGTTGTGTCAAGTTCACAATGCTAAATAGGATGCCCCTCCCCTTTATTGGCTTTCTGTTATTTGGTTGGATTTTTAAATTTTTCCTCTATCACTTGAAAGTTTTGCATTCTGTATTTTCTACCCATCCTGAAGCTCATGGTCTTGAGTATTTTGTCCTAAAACCCATGGAAGGTAGCAACACTGCCGGAGAGGCCCCTGAGGCCATGCTAATAGCTCTGAGCACTGACATCACACGCGCTGGTGTGCGCCACTCTCCGGCTCTGGGTATGAAATGCTGGGTGCTGCCAGGCTTGGCGCTTGCACTTGTAATCCTATGCTAGCCCTTGGAAGGTTGAGGCAGGAGGAATGCTCCGAGACCAAGATCAGCCTAGACTATATGTGAGTTCCAGATCAATCTGAAGCTACAGAGTGAGGCCTTGTCTCAGAAAACACAGAACACAAAAGGAGGAGGAAGCGAGGCTGTGTCAGAGGCTGGAGAGGTGCACGGAAATGTCACCAGTGGGTAGCATCCTGGTACAGTCACAGGAAAGGGCTATTGATGGTGAGGCCTGGTGCTGTGTGATTCTCTTTCTTCTGGACTGAAACACTCCCTCTAGGAGGAGGGGTAAGGGAGGAGGGGTAAAGGAGGAGGGAGGCTCTAAGACCCAGGGAACTCAGAAAACTCCAACACTCCAGAAACTTCCCAGGATCGCCTAAGTGCAGAGCTGCTGCGGGGAACAGTGGCTGCTGTGGATCAGGGAGTTCCCAGACACAGCCTTTTTGGGACACCGGGGTGAAATTTTTGGGTGTTATAGCTGCCCTTGTCACCCACACTTTTGTCAGTAACGCCCATAAACTTATTGGTTCATCAAGTTGGACCTGGATGGAATCATTTCTTCAGTCTGTGTCCTGCCTCGGGGAATAGGTGTTTGCTCCCGTCTCCCCAGGGAAAGCTGTGTGATACCCAGTTGGAGGAAGCAGATCCCTGGGGTGTGCCCTGCCTCAGCACCCTCCTGTCTGTCTCTGCTTCCTGGCCACCATGACGTGAGCAGCCCTCCTCAGCTTCGTGTTCTTGCTGCCATGCCGCTAAGCCTCGGGCTTTGCACAGTAGAGCCAGCTGGGCCCTCGCTGGAACTTCTGAAGCTGTGAGCCCAGCTACCCCTCCCCTCTGAGCTTTCTCTTGGGTATTCATTCCAGTGGCAACATTGCTTTCTAATTCTGAGAAGGAAGAGAGGGAGGAGAACAAAACACTCGCTTCCTGGTGCTTTTTCCTTGACCAGCGCCCAGCTCATCGGTTTGTGAGGACTGAATGCTCCCACTCATGTACAGCACCGAGTAACAAGCGATAGAACTGATGTTTCCTGCTAGTGCATTCATTTTTACCTTTGAGGAAAAAAAAAGCGATAAATGAATTTTTTGGTTTAGGTGCAAGTGCAGACAGGAAATGAAGAGAAGAGCTAAGCCACTGTCTAAATCTGGGGCATTTTTCTTGCATAGGATTCTAGTATTCTGTCTGGAAATTGCTTTTGTCTAAATGAAAGTTAATAAATTTGAGTCTAAGAAATTAGAAATAAACTAAAAAAAATGAAGAAAAGGGATTATGTAGTGGCATTGCAACAGTATTTTAATAAAGACTGCCTGAAGATCTGAGGATAAAACAGTCCCACTGGTCAGCCTTACAGACCAGGTTATGGTAACCTGCACCTTAAATCTCAGTGACCACACTAGTTGCCATAGAACCTGGGCAGCACACGCCTTTAATGACGGTGATGCACGCCTTCAGTCTCAGCCCTGGAGAGGAATATAAGACAATATAATATAATATAAGGGAGGAGACAGCTCTCAGAGGCAGTCTCCTTCTGAGATTCCAGGAAGCAGGATCGCCATCTCAGACTGAGTTTTTATTAATTGTGCTTCAGGATTAGAGGTTAAAAATAAAAAAAAACAGGCTGGGAGCAGCCGCCGCGGAGGTCTCTGGCCAGTATTGCTTCCACCTGTCCACAAGCATGGGGAATATCTTTGCAAACCTCTTCAAGGGCCTTTTTGGCAAAAAAGAAATGTGCATTCTTATGGTGGGCCTGGATGCTGCAGGAAAGACAACAATTCTATACAAACTGAAGCTGGGTGAAATTGTGACCACCATTCCCACTATTGGTTTCAACGTGGAGACAGTTGAGTACAAGAATATCAGCTTTACTGTGTGGGATGTGGGCGGCCAGGACAAGATCCGGCCACTATGGCGCCACTACTTCCAGAACACCCAAGGCTTGATCTTCGTGGTGGACAGCAATGACAGAGAGCGTGTGAATGAGGCCCGTGAAGAGCTCATGAGGATGCTAGCTGAAGATGAGCTCCGGGATGCCGTTCTCTTGGTGTTTGCCAATAAGCAGGACCTTCCCAATGCCATGAATGCGGCCGAAATCACAGACAAGCTGGGGCTGCACTCTCTACGCCACAGGAACTGGTACATTCAGGCCACCTGTGCAACCAGCGGGGACGGGCTCTATGAAGGACTAGACTGGCTGTCCAATCAGCTCCGGAACCAGAAGTGAACCAGACCCCTCCCTCCCCCTCACTTCCTCTTCTCCGCCCTCCGCTTTCCTCTCATGTGGCAAACGTGCGACTCTGTGGTCCTGAGTGCCAGAAGCTGTCTCCATGGGTTGGTCACAGTGTGCATCGCACCGTGCTGTACATGTGCAGACGTAGCCTGCAGCCAGGTTTTATTTAATGTAAATAGTTTCTGTTTCCACTGAGGCAGTTTCTGATACTCCTATGCAATATTACTTAGCTTTTTTATTGTAAAAAGAGAATCAACTCACTGTCAGTACTGAGAAGGGATTTGGGTGTAGGGGCACCTGGCCTCCGGGAGCCATTGGGCTGTAGACTGGTGTCAGTATCCATTTGGTGGTTGGTTTTTACCCAAACTCAGTGCATTTTTTAAAATAGTTTAAAAAAAAATACAGGACAAGAACACTTGAACACACACAACGGAGACTATGCCTAGTGTAGGTTTTGCAGTAATGGCCTGAATGCTAGTCCATTGGATCACCTGTTTCCCCTGTGGGAACAGAGAGAAGGTGGACACACCACCATCCGCTGCATGGTCACAGTAGAGCCCCCGTGACTCGCCTGTCTTGGGTCACCTGCATTCCATAGCATTGTGCTTGTACTTGTGCTCACATGCTCACCTAGGGGTGGGCTGGGAGCCATTGTGGGGTGCAGGGCCCGGCTTGTATTTGGTGTGTGGCCAGGCCAGGTGGCAGTCTACATACCCAGCTTACTCTTGGGCCCACTTGGACGCGCTGGCAGGAGGCCTGGGTCTCACCAGCAGGAGCGCATACAAGCCGGGAGGGTGGATCCATTCCAGACCCACATCCTGGAGCACCCCCATCTCCATGTGTGAAGTAGCTTTCTCCCTCAGCCTGCAAGGGTCCGATTTGCCATCGAAAGACGACCTCTACTTTCTTCTTTTGTATTTTGATAAACACTGAAGAAGCTGGAGCTGTTAAATTTATCTTGGGGAAATCTCAGAACGGGTTTATTTGGTGTCATGGAACCTCTTACTGCTTTCAATACACAATTAGTAACCAACGGTTTTGTATACTTGTTTTCAGTTTTCATTTCGACAAGCACTGTAATTATAGCTATTAGAATAAAGTCTCTTAACTATTAAAAAAAATAAAAAAAAATAAAAAAAAACATTGGCTATTTGAAGCCAAGGGACTGGAGCTCTCCCTTCAGTGACAGAATGCTTGCTGCAGGAGAGACCCTGGACTCCGTTCCCAGCAGATCTCCACCCAGCTTCAAACCCGGTGTGCGGCACAGCACACTCCTGCCGCACAAGCGTGTGGGAAGTGGAGGCCTAGAGATCAGGAGCTCGAGGTTCTTTTCAACCACAGAGCTGAGTTCAAGTCCAGCCTGGGTACACTAGGTGGGCTGTCCCAAACACCACACACACACACACACACACACAAATGAGGGGAGGGGAAGGGAGAGAGAAAGAACAAAAAGAACCAACAAAATGGATATTTCAAATGAAAGAGTCACAATCTAAGAATCTTTTAAAATAAAAGTTTTGAAACATTGAAACATTTTTTGAAGCAAGTTCTTACCAGGCTGTCCTCATAGCCTCAGATGGCCCCTCCTCCCGAGTGCTGGGGTTCCAGACAGCTACACCCGGCTACGGTCCATACTTTAATGTCAGAGTTACACTCAGATCTGTGCACGATGTCCATCCATGCTCTTGCCCAGTTCCTCCTTCCCCAGGACCCAGCTGTGTGAGTCTGAATCTACCAGATACCTCATGGAAGTGGAGTCCTTTCGTGTCTGGCTTACTAACGTCTTCTGGATTCATCCACACTGTACCATGTTTCAGGATTTCAGTTTTAAGTTTGAAGAGTAATTTCATTTTTATATGCAAATCGTGCATTATCTGAACTTCCATCAACGTATGTTGAGTTGTACCCCGGGTAGGTTTTTGTCAAACTGACACAAGCTATGTTGGAACTTAAGGTTGCAGTTCACACATCCGGATGGCTCTCTGAGCTCAGCGCCCTTTCTGCCTGACTTTATTTGGAGAGTGTCTATCTCTAGACTCCGATGTGACTCCGCACAGAGCACCCTACGAACACCGTGTGACTTAGTGCGTGTTTGCCGCTCTCTTCCCGCGCACTCTAGAGTTTGAACTGGTACATGGCTGACATTTGTCTTCAATCGAGTCTGCACCGCATAGTGGCTGTGACCCCTCCCTTGTTCTCCGTCCTGCCCTCCCCTGTGACTAGCTGTGTGAGCTAGCCCCGTGGCTGCAGCAAACTGAGCTGCCTCACTGACGCTGACTCCCATAAGTTTTTTCACATTGCCCACAGCTGCTTCTGCTCCCTTTGTCCTCCTCGGCTGATGACCAATGATCCTCGAGGAAAAGGGAGACCCCACAAAGCCAGAGTTACAGGGAAAGAAGCTGCTCTGTTGAGAAAAGTACTTCGGATCACTTGTAGGCAAATCTGTGGGGGTATTTTCTTTATTACTTATTGATTTGGGAGGGTCCAGATCACTGGGGTGGTACCACCCATGGGCAGGTGGTCCTGGGGTATAAGATAGCAAGCTGAATACGCCAGGGGAAGTGAGCCAGTAAGCAATGTTCGTTCATGGCCTCTGCTTCAGCTCCTGCCCTGACTTCTCTTCATGCCGTCTTATCTAGCTTTGGCATTGAGGACAGAAAGGACAGCCAATATTTTAGGCCTTGACCTCCAAGGTCAGCCAGGACCCAGGAAACAATGACATCCCCACAAATCACCTTACTTCTCTGATAAGACACCTAGTGTCCTAGTCAGAGAGACACTGAGCTGCCCAGGAGAACTCTAAGCAGGGATGAGAGTCTATGGGAAGGGACCCGGTTCCTGGACTTCCAAGGAAAGCCACGTGTTCAGCAAGACCCTGGGGATGGCAAAACTGGTAGGATGACACTAAGCAGTAATGACACGCACCTTTACTGGCAGGGGTTGGGCAGGGAGGTCTCTGCAAGTTCAAGGCAAACCTGGACTGCGTGTGAGTTCCAGGCCTAGGGCTGCAGTGAGACCTGTTGTCAAAGATTAGCTTCAGCAAAACTCGTACACTCCAGGGTAGGTGCGTGAGGGTTAGAATTATTAAGCAAAAGGAACAGAGGTGTGAGAGAAATAAGACACAGCGGCACAGAGTAGCATCAGGAGGGACAGTCACAGAATAGCATCAGGAGGGACAGTCTGAATCTGCCTCGTTTATTTTCCACACGCTTGTATACTTTACTCCAAAAGGGACAGAGGTGCAACGGGCTTCATTCCCAGGATATAAGAAATAGACTTGAATTCTCCGACCTCTGGTCCAGGTGGATCCACCTCTATATCCAAAACACTGACCAACCACACCCTAGGTCAGAATCTCTCGTTTGAAGCCACAACTTGGAGGGAACAAAAATTAGCTCAAACTCTCTCTGACCTCCAGTCAAGGTGGAACAGGCTCACAACTGTGGGCCCTCACACCCTGTCTCAAAACAAAACAATGATAAAAACCAAATGTGAGTTAAAATATTAGGGTTAAAACAGATCAAAGACACTGAAGGGGCCGGGTCTTGCAGCTAATACCACAGCCTAGCTAATCTGCAAAGCCTTAGCAGAAAACTCATTCTTGCTTTTAATTCTAATTTTTTTTTTTAAACAACAGAGCTAGAGAGATGGCTTAGCAGTTAAGAGCAGTTGCCACTCTTTCAGAGGACCCAGAACCAGGTTCACTTCCCAGCACCCACTATCAGGCAGCTCACAACCGCTGTAACACCAGTTTCAGGGGATCTGCTGCCTCTTCTGGCTGTTGTGGGTACTGCATGCTTGTGAAGCACACACATACAGGCAAACAAACACTCACACGTACAAAATAAAACAAATAGGGGCTAGAGTATTCATTTAGTGGTTAAGAGCACACACTGTTCTTCCAGAGGAGCACAGAAGACTAGGCTTCAAATCCTGGCACCTACATCAGATGGCCCATGACTGCTTGTAACTCCAACTCCAGGGGATCCAACTCCCCTGGGCTACACACACACACACACACACACACACA